AATATGAAAGAACTTTAGGATTCTTGCACGCACCTCAAATCATGATCTTTCATAAATACAATAAGGGCCTTCTCATCTAAATAAAAACATATTAGAAATAGCAATCCTTAGGAAGAAAAATGTAAATTGCTTTCGAATCGAAATTCTTGGTTAGCAAAAGTTTAATGATTCTTGGCGAGCTTTAATTTAATTACATTAGGGTGGATCTGGTGGATAAGTACAAGGTCAATGAACTTAGGAACAAAAAAATAATATAATAACATCGATATGCCATTCTTTAAGATCCGATGGTAAATGGCGAAGATTAGACGAAAAATTTAAAAAGGCGACACCTACGTCAAGCCAAAAAAAAGGTTTCAAAAATTGCTTTGCTAAAATATTTTTGGCTACAAAATTTTTTCTGGTACGGTCTAATGTACATATGTATATGCAAGTCTGTCTCTGCATGTGCATATTATGTTCATTCATATGTACATATGTATTTGTATAAAAATGTACTGGTTTTCCTTAGCACTCGCTTGGAATGTAATGCGTAAACGCATGGACTGTGAGTAGTTCACCGCTCAATGTCTATATAAACAATAATTTATTATAACTTTTATAGATTTATCCACATTCCAAACGGATATCGATAATCCACCTAGCCCGAATCGCAGTCGTTCGCGTGATCGTAACAAATTTGTTGGACTCGAGCAACTATGCCCGTTGCCAGAGTCATTGGAGTTCGATGTCAAGTATGTAAAAAAAAAACTATACTACGCCACCATTAGATAATACGTACTTACAACTTTTAAAATTTTTACGCTTAGAAACGTACTGGCAATGGCAGATATTAAGACTCACATCGGTTACACACGCGCTTGGGTTCGTCTATCGCTTGAGAAAAAATTGCTTTCGCGCCATTTTAGAACTCTACTTTCTGAGGAGTCGTTGCTGCGCTCACTCTACAAACGCAATGCTTTTCTGCGATGCGAAGAGGAAAAAGAACAATTCCTCTACCATCTACTTACACTGAATACAGTGGATTATTTCTCATTTACTAACACGTATCCCACTACAAGTAAGCAGTATCAGCTTGAAGAATCTAAATTTTTACTTATTCATAGTATTTCGCTTGTATGTATAATTTTTATGTAGAACTACCTTATCGTGTAGTGATATTTCCTTCGCGTAAATATGGCTCCTATCATACCTCTAGCAATGTTTGGATAATAGTGTCGGGTACAATGAACGAGACGCAGCGTGTGCCTGTGCCTAAAGGATCTTTGGAGTTTATTTTTCATGTGAATTTCTAAAAATATTCATATTTATTGCGGTATAGTTTATAAACATGTTTATTTCCAGTATAAGAACCTCGGTTTATTAACAACAATGCGCATTGGCCACGATAACTCTGGGCCGTCACACAAATGGCTGGTGGAACATGTAGTTATGCGTAATGAAGCTACCAGCCATACATATAAGTAAGTGAATTGTACTAAAAGAGGCGATACTCGAAATTATTTACTATGCTATTTTTGAAATTACTCCAAAACATATAGATTTCCTTGTGGTCGTTGGCTCGGCAAAGGCGTCGACGATGATTCTACCGAACGTTTACTTGTGGGGCAACGCGTTTCCACCAATTCTAAGAATACTGAGGTGCCAACTGCTACGCAGACACCACCACGCACGCGTAGTCCAAGTGTACAACGGCAGGATACAGTGCCCACCTCGGAGTTGCAACACCAGTTGGGCAATTGTGTGAATGTTATTGTAAAATGGCATTATAAACCAAGTCGTGATCGCGATGTTGGCACCTTGACAAATTTACTTTGCGGAGATGACGGTTTGGTGAAATGTCTAGAGTGTATTTTCTTATGTGGATTTCGCTCGACTCGATTCTTTGGCAAAAATCTTTATATATGGGACTATTTTAGTTAGTAGACAAACAAGATTTTATTTGAAGAACTTTTTTTTTTTACTATTTTCTTTTTGAATTTAGCTAAAATTAAAGAGCAATTCGAGCAGTACATGCAACACGAACAGCAACAACAAATGCAGCAGCATTTGGATGACTCTGCATCAAGTGTGGATTCATCATTTAGTGATGGTAGCGGCGCAAATAGTTTGCAAAGGCGTGAATTGTCGGCCATTTGGCGTTACTATGTGCATTTGATGGATGAAATAAATGCGGCCGGTAGTCAATTGGGCAAGGATGGCAAATTTCAATTGCTCATATGCCTGAGTTTGCGGTAAGTAAAAAATACATCCCCAAGCCCTAGTAATTAATTGTTTATAAAAGTTAAGTATAGAGTTTAAATTGTCGACTAACGATAAATATGTATGTTGTGAGAAATTAGCAGATCCACGGTAAGTTGTCCTGCCTAAAATTAATTACATTCATACTGAACAACACAAATAAAGATTTTTAAGCTAGCGGCAAAAGTAGCTAACTCCATTTTTCTTCGAATTTCTCTTTATTACAATTTTGTGTACAGGACATGGATTACTATTGTAAAAAAATGAAGCGATTTTCGAGTATTTTATAAAAAAAAAAATTATTAAAGATAGTTTTCTAATAATAGTTTGCATTAGTTTAAGTGCAGTACAAAACTAACCCTAAACGAAATTGGAACAAAACTGAAAGAGAGTTGCAAAATAAGTTAATTTTTAATCTAAATTAATATCTTCCTAATTAAGAGCCCTGTTCATTAATAAATCTTATGGAAGGTGGCGACCGGCAACTCCTTACTGTAAAAACCTTCAAATCGTGAGGCACCTGGAACGCAAACTAAGGTCTTGCTACCTAAAAGAAACTATATAGCGTCTATTTTCGGTTCCTGAATACTTCAAATATAGCCTTTAACAATTCAGAAGCGTCTGTTGTGTTTTAGGAAACGCATTTTTGATATTTCTTTACGGCCCCATACCTAAGCTTCTCAATAAATATTTGATTTATTGGCATCTTTGCTGCTGTTTTAATTTAAAAAGATTTTGCTTGTACCTATAAAGCTGCCTATGAATTTTTCATTTAGGACCTTTTCCGTTAATATCTACGATATATGTATGTACATGCGTATATTTATAATTCGATGCATTTTTTTCAGCGAACATTTACTAACGCGCATGATCAAGCCCATGGCTATGACGAAGGTTACGCACGAGATGTACGAAGAGGAAAGTTTTCTTCGACGTAAAAATCTACTCACGTTTTTAATTCAAATACTCGAACCACTGGATGATTGCCACATTGTGCTTGAAAATTCAATTACTCAAGGAATTCCATCACAATGTTAATTTAAGTATAAACTAAAATCGCACACATGTACAATTCTAAGTAAGCGATGCATGCGCATAGCTGTCTGATTGAATCCTAAAAAAAAAGAGAACACAAATGATCTGTGAACTAGTTTTTTTTTGTGCAGCTAATGAAACAAGTCTTGTCCGTAGTCCCGTTTTGTAAAAAAAGTATATTTACGTATACATATGTACACTTGCTTATTTTTACAAATGGTCAAACTATTGTTTAAATATTGTAATATAGTACAAGTAAATCAACTGCTTGCCCAGTAACGCAAACCAAAGACTTCCGGCGCGATTATAAACTTCTTTGTTGTTGCATTTTATTTATAAATATATTTATTTAATTATTATTTTCTTATTATAAATGTGAGGCAAAGAAACAAAGACTTAAGAAAGACATTTCGTTTGGAAATTAAGAGTGATGTGGAATTTGTTGTGCAATTAATACTTAGTAGTTCATAAGCCAAAAATTCGCAGACCCAAAAGTTAAAATGTTTGTAAAATGCGTTAGAAAAACTACACTCGCACTGTGTCAAATACTTAGTGTAAATTTTTCTTTTTCATTTACGGCATTTGTTTGCCTTCATATTTATTCATATAATTATAAATTAAACATACTTTTTCCTTAATATACCAAAGATATTTTGCTGTATACTCACAAGTTTATTTAATTTTTTTCTTCATTATATTATACACAAAATTGTGTAACACAGCTATTCCTTTGTATGAGATTATTTACATTTTTATATGATGGTAATTTTAATTTTGGTTTTTCATTTACATATCTATGTACGTATGTATGTTTGTTATAAAGCCTTACGCATGATTCAATTTATTTTTGCTATAAAATATATTATATACATCTTATTGAGGTGTATATCTTAAGAATTACATAAACATGTACTTGCAACATTCGAATTACTTAACATTTAATACTCAATTGTTGGCATGTTCTTAATACCAATTAATACATACATGTAAACACCTAAATTGTGAATCTCTGCAAATTGTAAAGACCTATGTACTAACATAAAATTTAAAAATACAAAAAATGTGGGATACAGTCGTTAATAACGATAACTTATTTGTTTTAATAATCTAATTTTTCGAATTAAATCTGTGTTCATATGGAAAAGTAGCCTATGTCGAAAGGCTTGCTTTAGTATAATGTGGCATTCGCAGCATACGATTGCGAATGACTCACTGGCGCCAAGCTGTTGAAGAGCTTGTAGCAAATAATAAAGCCAGCTTATCGAAATAAGCTACTATTCCATACGAACACAAAAATATAGTCAGGATTGAAGCAATTAAAATATAACCATATACACCACACAAGCTGGTTGTCATAAAGATCTTTCTTTCCGTTCCGGTTCGCAATATGTGAAGTCAGAGATTACTTATTTATTATATTTTTTTTTTTAATCTAAAAAATCTAAAATCTATAAAAAGTGTGGCAGTAATGCATGTCCGAACAAGAGGGCGTGATTGTTAATAAATGAATTTTGAAATTATGACATAAAATAAGGTGAAAATTCACACTATTGTTGTAATAAACATTTCTTATAACACTTTAAATAACGCTACTGAAGTAACAGTTCTCGGCAGAAATTGAATCCGAAGAGGGGGTTAACGGTCCGCGATCGGCCCTGTCTGTAAATGTACATTTTGTACATTTTTAGGACATGTACATTTTTTTATTTACAAATGCACCGAATATGCAAATGCACGAGCATATGCACAAGATCCTGAACAGCCCTAGTGAGTTTCATCAACATATACAATTCATATTTAGTAGTTGTAATATGGTAAGCCATAGTTCATGGATGTACGTTAGTAAAGATGCCATATGTATGTTTACCATAAACTTTTATGAAATAGGCCCTCGGAATACAACCCTGTTGCCTTCGAACATCGAATTTTGATAAAGAGCAGAGGAGAAGAAATGTTCATCTATTTCATTTCTTTTCGAACGCGATACGAAACAAAAGTGTGCGAAAGTTTAAATTCTGAATAATTAATAATAAAAATAGTTGTTACTATATGTTTTCTTTTTAATTTGGAAAAATGTATAAATTCTCTAAGCATTTTTTAAAAGCACAAAATGAAATCATCAACGCTAAGTGAAATTTGAGTGTAAAATTTTCCTAATCGATTTTCTGTTGGCTGCTGCAATTGGATTTTTTACTAGAGTTTTATCTGAGTCACGGTGAAAGAGAAACAAATAAACGAGATATAAAAGGAAGAACAAGAAGGTTATAAACAAATTTTGAATTGGATTAAATTACTGTAAATAACACGATTCCGGTTTAATACAAGGTAAGGAAAATTCGCAAACTCTTAATTTTATAACAGCCAAGGCAAATATTACGTATTTGAAAGATTTTTTGCGATAGCAGCTAACGCATATGTACATATATATGTATGTACGTTTGTATGCATGCACGACTATGACTGGAGGAGGGACTCTGCACTAGCGACTATCACAACGTGGACGGTTTTATATTTTGCCACGAAGCCACCTTGCAAACTGTCTAGACACTAGAGACCTAGAAAACCGGGCGTGCGTTTGTCGAAGTACATACAGTTTATGACGAAGGAATGCCATAATATTTTTAGTTTTGATTGCATAATGTTTTCCGCTCACTGAGTGAAACACAGAGCAGATGCATGATTTAATAATAACAAGCAATTAATAAACAAATGAACGTAGTATTGAAAGTTTAACCATTATGGCTGCATTTCTTCATTCATTCTGAACGTTTGGAATAACCTTTTTTGTTTACTTATTCTTTAAAGGGAGTGTCTATTTACACGCGCCACGGTAACTGTTACCGTAGATCCACGGTAACTGTTACCCTTCTTAAAATGGGAAGTGGGAGGTGCCATCGCACACATAGGAAAGTATACCCGGCACAATTTCTATCTGGTTACTGTAGAAGAGTGTAGTCCTACCTATCCAGAATCGAACTCCCTTGGGCTAACTTAAATACACTCATCTAACACCCCTCGTGACATTGGTTCCACTCTATCGAAGCACTGATTTTTAATAAACACTGAAACGTGCAAAGTAAATTTCAAATTATCCTTTTTTAATCGCTTGCCCTGTTTTTATTTTTTTTGAATTAAAGGAATCTGAGCATGCATAATACTTGATGAAATGTAATCGACGCAAAATATATATGTATGCAACTATGTAAATTTTTTTTTACGAGAAGGAAGCATAGAAAGCATGTTACCTGTCAGTGTGGGACTTTAACCTGAACTAAACCTCGTATTCTCCAAGTACCGATCCAACCGGCATCACCGTCAAGTATTTCTTCGGGAGGACATACATACTTACATACATTTGTACATATATACTTACATAAATATGTCACAAAGAAATTGTTATCACATTTTTTTTGTCTTTTGCCACTAAAGGTTACTCTTTCGCAAAATTGAATTGTGTCTGAGCGAGCACTGAAAAAGATCTTCAAGTTGCGTTAAGTATTTGAAAATAAACGTTTGGGGTATTCTCACAGCGTTGCCGTAGGTGTCGTATTGTGTACGTCGTAAACCTTGAAAGCTTAAATAAATGTTTAGAAGACTTGAAACCTCAACCAACTATTTTTAACACTGTGAAAATTCATAATTTGACTTTTATGGTACCTTATATATCCCCGTAATATACATATTTTTTGCTGTTTAAAGTTTACGACAAACAACAATACGACACTTACGATACCGTTGCGAATACCCCAACTGAACTTTGTTTTTGAATCGTATGATTTTAATTAATGATTAATAATGCAACCATCAATTATATTAAACGCTTTCGTATTATATTTAGTACACTATTGAAACAAACAGCAAACATAGTATGTAACAATATACTTTAGCAGCAGATATCAAAAGTAATCGTTTGACTAAGCGTTAGCACATTACATTTAAAAATTTCCTTTCAATCCCACAAAATACATGTACTGGACATTCTGTGGAATTTATACTGGTTATGTAACCATTTGCGTAGCTTCAGCCATCTCGGAGCACGTTATTGCCGTAAATGAAAAATATATCAAAGATTTTTCATTGTCAGTAATCATTCATTTCATTACTTATAATGCTTAAAATTATTACAATAATACCGAAGATTAGTACCACGGTAATTTAATATTAAGATAAAAAACAAGTAAGAGCAGCACTGTCTTCGGCTATGCCTTTCATGAACATCTGCAAATTTTAGTTTGACAGATTACTGATTTTGAATACATCTGCATTCAGAGAACAGCTTTGAGTATGATCGAGCCTTTTTGATCGCACTCACTAAAAATCAAGCACAAGCGAACGCCACTCGGCTACTATGTGTTCGATCGAGATGCATACCCGACAGCTGCTTTGGTTACGAACGAGTCTGTTCGATCACCATCGCTATAAATTGAGCACAAGCGAACACCACACTCGGACACCCGCAGCTAACCCGAAAATTTGTGTAACAATGAAACGGACACCAGAACATTGCGATAAAATGCAGGACAACAAAGAAATTTACGCTGAAGGTAACTGGCGCCAATATGTTCCCACAAAGCATACGAAAATGTTGTTGCTTTGTGCTTGTGCATACGCAATGAAAAAATTAGAAGCGAAGTAGACAAAAATGTGTTTGCATCTATTTCGTATAGTTTCGCGTGGAAAGCTGTGTGTGTATATATTAGAACACAGCCTAAAACCTAAAACTATGTAGGTACATAAATACTTTTACAAAAAATAAATGTGCTCCGAGTGTATAGGGCTTGGGCATTGCCGATCTACACACATTTATACCTAAATGGATGTAGGCGTCGTGATGCCGCGTTTTGTATGAGCAAAAATATAAGAAATGGTTAAATGTACACTTAAACAAACTACCGAAAAATTCAACCTTCTCTTTACCCTCTACGCACAAAAACTAAGAGCACCGCGATGAGAAGGCAACATTTTTTGTAGAAACAAAAACGTCATAAGCCAATCAAGAAAATTTTGTGCACACTCGGGTTGAAACTCGAACACCCGGGTATATTGCGCTGCAAAGCACCCGAACCCAATCAAGTATGTATGAAAAGCAATCGGGTGTTGTGGCCAACATGTTCGTCTTGAGCTCAGTCGATAACGAACAATACTTCTGCTCGTATACAGAGAACGATGCAAAGCGGGTTTTGTTAGATGATCGAGTATACACGAAAATCATGCACCCGCTGCAGATGTCTGATCTGCATACATCGATAGAGGAGTTACATACTTATATAAAAAATCGCCTCTAAACAATCAGAGGTATGGAGGATATACTTTATATGGCACCAATCTAAGTGATTTTCACTGCTATGTGATCGGTATGTAAACCGGTAACACAATTTATTTTGTTTAGTTTCCTACATAAAGGAGATATATCGCAAAAACTGGTATCTGAACAATCAGTGCTATAGGAGATAAAGCTTATACAGCATAGATTTTGACGATTTTCTCAGTAGACTTTGTATTATTATTTATAAAATATCTTACGAAATTTATCGGTTTTAGCTGTTCAAATAAAGGAGTTTTACGGTAAAATCCCATATCTGAACAATCAGATGTATGGAAGATATATGTTGTAGTCACCCGATCCTTGTTATTTTCACTGTAAGTATTCTGTTAATAATGAGTGAAAATGGTGCGAAATTTCATGTTCCTAGCTGCATAAATGGAGGAGATATGATAAAAGACCTCATATCTGAACAATCAGTTGTATGGGAGCTGCAGGTTATAGTGACCCGATCTTCGTTATTTTCACTGTAAGTCTTCTGCTGATAATGAGTGAAAGCAGCGCGAAATTTCATGGTCCTAGCTACATAAATGGATGAATTATAACGAAAAATCTCATATCTGAACAATCAGTTGTATGGGAGCTATATGTTATAGTTATCCGATCTTTTTAATTTTCACTGTAAGCTTTCTGTTGATAATTATTGAAAACAGTGCGGAATTTCCTGTTCCCAGCTATATAAATGGAGGAGTTATAACGAAAAATTTTATATCTGAACAATCAGTTGTATGGGAGCTATATGTTATAGTGGTCCGATTATTCCGGTTCCGACAAATGATTAATACATTATAAAAATACACCCACCTACCAAATTTGATCCGGATATCTCGAAAACTGAGAGACTAGATTGCATACAAACAGACGGACAGACAGACAGACGGACAGACGGACAGACGGACATGGATAAATCAACTCAGCTCGACGTTCTGATCATATAAGTATACATTTTAATGGGTCTATCTTTTTTTGTTCTGGTACTTACAAACATCGGACCAAAGTTATAATACCATTTCATGCTCATGAAAGGTATAATAAGAATTAAGACTAAATAGCACGTAGTACATCATGTCAAACATAGCCTAAAGAGTAACATTAGGCAAAACTACACTACCGGACAAAAATATTTGCCCAGAGGATTTTTCACAACATATGCAATATTTTTTTTTCCGATGATCTATTATAAAAATATGGTTAATGCTACTACAAAAAACATAAAAATACAATTTATAAATCTTGTGCGAAGCTCATGAAAATTCTATAAATTTTCGTGCAAGTTTTCAACTTTTTGATCAGATTTTTAATATTTTTTTTGCGTATGCAGTTTTGTAGCCCGCTAAATTTTAGTATAATAAAGTGCAAGTAGGAAGTAGCTAGTACCTCCCACCTGCTTTTGGCATTTTTTCACACATTTTCTTTCATAAAACTTTTCGAAAATCCTTTATATGGAAAAAGTTCAATCACTGGCCCATAAAATCTCAAAAAATAAACGCAATTTTTTAGAATATTCAAACTTTATTTTCAAAATTTAATGGGCTACATTCTCATATATAAAAAAAAAATAGAATTAAAAGATTGAAAATTTGCAAGAACATTTTATTGAATTTTCTTGAATTTGGCACAAAGTTTAGAAATTGTATTTTTATGTTTTTTGTTATAGTATTTTCCTCCATACAAAGTATGAGTGAAACTTTTTTATATGAACGAAGATGCGTAGAACCGTGAGAAAAAAATATTAAAAATTTTTATGAAAATTCGTTGAATTTTTCTTAATTTTGTATAAAGCCTGAAGCCTGAGTTTATATGATTTTGTTTTAATCATATACCATATATTTATAAAAAAAAAATAAAATAAAAATTTTGCTTGAAAAATATTGTGAATATTTAAAAAAGAAATGGTGCATACAGACTTTTTCTGTTAAGTGTACTAAGCGGACCTAAATAGAATCAATGGAAAAAATTAAAAATTAATAAGTTAACGAAACTACGAGTACAAAACACTGTT